GCAGTGTTGTATTATAGAGAAAATGTAGCATGCGTCCATGAACCAAAATAAAAACCTATTATGAAACATATGGAGATTACGAACAGTATTCAAGATCAGAAGTCTATTTAAGGTATGACTCTAATTCTTATCCAAATTATCGAGTATTATTATTATCTCCTTCTGTAAAGTTAGCGATACAAAAGATGCATAAAACACGATATCCGCTTTGTGACTTATTTAATTATTTAATCATTTATTGTTTAAATGAAACAGGTTATTCTAAAGTTAATGGGTTTTTTTGCCCTTGTTCGAGCACACTCACAGAGACCTTTGTTTACAAAATTTTAAAGTTCATACAAGATATACCAACTGTTTTTCGTGTTGAATAGGAATGTTTGGAACCATTCATCTGTCAAAAACCTTATATAATTATTTTACAGGGAAATTTGAAGAATTGAATACCGTACTCCGAGACAGCAGAGTGAACTTTGAAGAAAAAACAGTAACAATGTTCGACTTTGCTGGGCAAGCAGTTTACTATGCCTGTCATCAAATTTACTTGAGTCCACGATGCTTTTATTTATTGGTGCTGGATATGTCAAAGGACATGGATACTTTGGTGAATGTTGAAGTATGCGAATATAAAAGGAGCATTTTTTCCACATGGACTTACAGAGGTAAATCTCGGGAAAGATCTTTAATATACTAGTAGTATAAACAGTAAAAGACTGTTCTAGCGAACCCGTTTTCATAATTATATTTACAGTAAAGTAAATGACTAAGCCAGTTCAAAGACTAGCTTTTGAAATTTTGAAATTCTCGCGGCAATGCCCTACACTATATGGGCAATGAAAGTGGGGAAAATACCAATATTAAGGCACCAGGCCCCGGAATCGCTTAAGCTAAATTTTAAAAAAAAAGTGTATTGCGCTGAAATAATTCTGAAATCAAAGAGTTTGAAATGAAATCCTTTTAAAGTATGCTTTGATAAACTACAGTTGTATGCAACTTAAGATTATAAATAGAATGTCCAACGTGGATCTTATCTCCATATACGCGGGTTAATCCAAAAGTAATGTCACTGTGTCAATATCTTTAATATTTGGCGTCATAGTATAAGATATTATGTACCAAAAGATGTCTGAAAAATTGAAAATAAATCTTGTCTAAACTGAAAAATTCAATCAGTTAGGTTAAATTACTTTTAGAGACGCTTAAAGAAAAAAAACATAAGGGGAGTCGTCGCGTCACAACTAAACGTCTCGTTTAAAAGTGCTTGTTGTAAAATTGAAAATAGACAAGACAATAAAAAGCATCTAAAACGTCAAACCGTCTACTATTTTGATAGACAAAATTTTACGACATTTTCTTGCCTTAAGTTGAAAATAAAATGATGTAATCAGAAACATTTTTGTTTTAATCTGCTGTTTTGAACAAAGGAAATGTGAAATGGGGGAAAACGCTGAAATGTTTTAGCTTCAAAATGGGGAAATTGCTTGTAGAGACAGTTATGATGATTAATCAGACACACAGAGAAGGGAATGTAAATAAGAAACTTGTTTATAGATGGCTTCAGTTATTTTAGCGGGTCATGGGTCATTGAATAATCAGCAGAGGACACAAAGACCAAAAAAGGGAGATCGGGCGGAAACGTCAAATGTTTTCTGACGTTGTCCAAAAAGAGAGACGGTTAGAGAGATATGTGAAACTTTAAGTTTGTCTCATGATGTTCAAATAATTTTGACATAGGGCTAAATTATGTAAAGAGTGTACGATGGGTACCAATAATCCTTTTAAAATTAGAAATATATGTGAATGTGTTCGTGAATCTCAGATATTTTTAATGAAACTAAGGAGGAGTGCTTAAGAGTATGTCGGCCTGTATCCGTCATATGACGTTATTTAGGTGCGGCGACAACCATTATTGCACTTTGTATATAATTTGATATTTTGAAAAGTATAAATTAATTTATTTCGAATAGTTCAGGGCTGAATTGTAATGAATATTATCAAGTTCTCTTATTTATGCAGCAATATACCTTTATCCCCTGCATACGAGGTTTATATTTCTCAGTTGATTCGATACGCAATAACATGCCCTACGTATGTACAATTTTTAGATTGAGGTGGATTATTGACAAAAAGGTTCATGAAACAAAAGTATCTGCAGCCTCGTTTCAACTCATAATTTCTATGGTCGATACAATAACCTTTTCAGTAAATACAATTCATCATTGAGTAAAAACTGACTGACGTTTTTAATACTTCTTGTTAGTCCATTATATATACACCGAATTGATAACGGATTTTTCTGTTATTTTCTGATTATGACAAGGAGCACACTGTTGGTGTGACCGGTCAGCAGGGAATACACACTCCTCTATGGCACCTGATCTCACCTTTGATGTTTTGGATGTTCGTGTTTGCTCTGCTCTTATTTTGTATTGTTTTATGGATTTCTGATCTTGAATACTGCTCGTTATCTCCATATCTTTCATGCTGACTGATGTTTTTCATACTTATTATCAGGCAATTATTTACACACTGAATTTTCGACTGATTTTACTGTTAATTCTCAATCATGATAAGGCGGGTTTGACCGGTCGGTTCGGATGCTCACACCTCCATGGCACCTGAAATATGTACCATTTTTGATTTTTAGAAGGCAATGTTAGCACTGCTCCTACTTTGTATTGGTTAATGGATTTTTGGGCTTGAACACTGTTTGGTGTGTCCGTATACTAATATTTCATGGTCAAATTAAAAATAATCAATTAAAAATCAATGATTGAAATTTGACCATCATGATGCACGTATTATTTTTTTTAAATATAAATTCTATAACTTAAAAATAAATAAACCGAGCAGAAGGTGCCGGCACGATAAAAATCCCTCCCTACTCAATGGCCCTGAATGCTGAGTATATATCAAAATTTGTAGCTAGCTGTCCACCGGCAAGTGGTGGAGTCTCTATATAAGTGAAAAATTTTTGGGAGCAACGTTAAACAGCATACAATCAATCGATGCTATGTATATTAATTGATTTTAATTTTGTAGAAGAAATAACATTGGAATTAATTTCTATACTTTTTTAATTTATATGCACTCGTAGGCTATATAAAATTACGTCTTAAATGATGCTTATTTTGCAAGCCAACCAAAATTAGTTTTTTTCTTATGGAACACATAAAACGAAGCTTTGAACATATAAAATTTTTATGTCAGTTATTACTGTTTTATTAATAAATCTTTGGTAAAAATATTAAGGTTGTTTAAGTCTTGTGGAAGAAAAACTGCTTGAAAATAAGCAGTTCTAAACAAAATATGCTATATAGGCGTGGTAAATGTGAACTTAATGACGTAATGTTTCTAAATTAACAATTGACATCAATTAGAGAGACACTTAAACAACAACAAAAATAAAAACAGAAAAAGAAATTAGCTATTTAGATGAAGATATACATAAATGAACCTCTGTAAACTGATTTTGAATATTCAGCAGAGCAGAAGATGAAGTACGATCCTTAATAATGAAAATAATACAAACCGGATCCAATTCCCACAAATCTTTTGAAAAAGTGCCTGGATCAATTAATACTGCATGTTTAAAACATTGTCAATTTATATCTTGATCAGGCAATTTTCCCGTCTGCATGGAAGGAGGCCGTACTTCGTCTACTTCTTAAGAAACCTACAGCCATGCTAATAAGTTATCTTAGGACTAAGACATATTAGTATCTTAAGATATAACATATAACTTAGCATCGCGTTTAAATTGTTTATGATGCAGAAAACCAATCTCTAATAATGCAAGACACAAATTGTTCAATAGAAATCTGAAGTAAAAGTAACATACTGAACATTTACGTCTGTTTTAATTGAAAATGAGATTGAAAATTCACAGTTTTATTAACTGGAATCCAGACAATATTTTGCATCTTTAGAAGATTTGATAGTTTTTCATATCTTGCTTATTTCCCTAGTGAGTGAGTGGTTTTGTTCGAGCTTTAATTTAGATTAAAGTTTTGTTTTTTTTTTATTTTAAGATAAAATTAATATAATAAAAGCGTTGAACTATTTTTGATTAAGAGAAAAAGACAATGTGATATGTATAACAATATCTTAAACGCTTACAATTAATCTTGGGGTTCTATAAGTAGTCTATGGTTACACAAACCTTTAAAATTTCAGACAAAGGATAATAAAAGATGTTGTGAAGATTTCCTGATTAATTAATCTTTGTTTGATCACAAAAAATGTTGTTATAATCATCTTTCAAATATATACATATATAAATAGATATTTGTATATTGTTGCATTAAGTAACTATGTTAAATATTTCTTGTTGAAACACACGATCTCTTTAAAATAATTATAATAATTTTGAATCAGTTTGATTTTAATGTATGTCACTCGTGATATTTGTTAAATCAAGGAGTTTTTGAACAGTATATTTTGGATAAGTTCTCATATAGTATACCTAGAAATTGCAGAGAAAATAACAGGTCATTGGGCATCTTACTGAGCTACGGTACAATTAAATTGGCGTTTTTCCACTTAACTTTTCACTCTTATTTTATCAGATGTAAGTATACCAATTAATATAATCTTTTTCACGTGAAATGTTTTGAATAAAATTAATCATTGAACAAATCTTTTAAATAAATGCTCGAAAATTATTGTGTGACCTTTTTGCACTGAAAAAATGACATATTAGGGTTATTACAAATCTAATTAGGTATTAAAATATTTTCTAGTATCAAACTTTTTACGAGCTCAGTCACAAGAATCAAGTAGTTTAAAAATAGTGAAAGAAAAAGATGGGGTCAGTGATGTTAACTTTGAAATATTGTTCAAAATATGTACCTTTCAGGCAAAAAAAAGGGAAAATTTATCTTGACTTCTCTAACATATCTTCATTTCTCGACAAAGTTTGTTGATGGAAGTTGTAAAATATGTTCTGAAAATATGAATTGAGACCTATTTTAAATATTCCTAGTATATCTAGTATATCATAACGTTCTCCGTGTAAAAGTATATGAGGCTTAAGTTCCAAGATAATAAATTTAATAAATAAAGGTGAAGAATTGTAGAATTTCCTGCTAAATATCCTTCTAACATAGTAAGAAATAGTCCCCATAAATCTTGCCTTTTGTCGAATATTTGAGCATTTTTTTCTCATTGAACGTTAAACAATTTAAATTGTTGCATTTAAACATGTAATAAGAATTGAATAAGAATAATAAATTTTGTTAGAGTTTCTGGGTTAACTTTTCTATAAAGCCGACGATTGGCTTACCTTCATGTGATTTTGCAAAGGATATTACACATTATACCTGAAAATTCAAGTGAATGTCGACTGTGGACGCTAAAAGGAAATAACGTCCTGCAATGAATCATTTTGAGGCCTTTACTGTATACAACTTCAAAATGTAACAAAGTAATGATGTCATATTTCCATAATGCCCCCCCCCCCTTTATGCCATATTCTTTCATGGTTTAGCACATTCATATACTTGACGCATATTTCAGCAAATTTTATAACTTTTTGAAAACATGCAATTTTGAGGGCACAGTAAAACCCTTACCGTACCTTCTTCTTAGATGATTTTAAATGACTTAAACATTTTCCTTGGACCTTCGATACAGATCTCCATTTTACACCCTGTATGAATCCGTATTAGGTCTCTAACTGACTGTGTAACAAATTTATCCCGCTAAAGACCTTTTTAAATATAAAATAAAAATTATTTGTGCATATATTGAAAATATTAAGTTTTAATCCAATAACAATCAGCATAAAATATTGTTACGGTAACAAGAAACTTAACTACACCTACGTAAGCCGTTTCTTAGCCTTCTTTATTTACAAAAGCAACGCTTTGAACGTAATCGCGTGTGCAATTTTCATATTACTCCTTGGCCGCGAGGTAATACGGAAACTTTCAGGGCGTCATGTGATCAGCCTTTATCCAATCAGCAATCTACAAATTTGTCTGAAGCGGGGTAAATATAATTGTGATATGATGCTTTTGTTTTAGTTAGGCAATACTAGAAAAAAATATTTGAATTTCTTTTAGATTATTTACTGTTTTGGCTGAAATCCATTCATACCTTTACCAGTCAAAATGTGCCGGTTATTTTGGTGGGTACCCATGCTGATGGGATGTCTGAAAAGGTATTTGAAAAAAAGGTTAACTAGCATTTAGTATAAAAAGTATGTAAGGGGACCTACTTGAGTTTTATTGTGTGAAAACTACGATAAACTCTTTTTTTATATACCTTATATAACTTGTGTACATTCCAAGTTTGGGGAAAATCTACCGTCAAAATGCAGGTACCGTTGCTATATGGGAGAGTCCCCAATGTTTAGCACTTTAGAGCAAATAATTCAAATACTACTGTAACAATAGATTTTTTGCTTAAACTTTATGAATATTAATACTATATTGCATATTATATGCAAAGAACACAAGATTTAACCGTTTTGATTCCAGAGGAGGCATGTCAAAAGCCAAAAATTCACGATTTTATTGGGCTTTTTTTAGGAGTACTATAAGATATGACGGATACAAGAAAGATATTGAGATGACGAACAGTATTCAATATCAAAGTCCATGAAACAATACAAAATAGGAACAGAGCACACACGGACCTTCGAAACATCAGAGGTGGGATCAGGTGCAATATAGGAGTGAACATCCCCTGCCGACCGGTCATACCCGCCGTGTGTTCCTTCTCATGATCGGAATATAACGGAATGAATCCGTCGTCAATCCAGTGTATAAATTATGGACTTACATTTAGTTTGAAAAACGTCAGTCAGCATTTGACTCAATGATAAATTGTATTTGCTGACAAGGTCATTGTATCGACCATAGAACTTACGAAATGATAGCTTTAAACGAGAATGTTTATATTCTTGTTTCATCAATTTGCTTGTCAATAATTTACCTCGTTCTGGAAATTGTTCATACGAAGTGCTCTTGCGTATCAAATCAACTGAGATATATGGACTCCCTATGTACGTAATGAAGGAAATTGACGATAGAAAAGTTAAACTCATCACAAAGGATTTATACAAAAAATTGTAAAAATGATGGAGAGATTCTAATTTTTTTTATTTTTTAAATTTCAGGAGCATATGTTTATTACTTTTTATAACCTCTTCTTTAAGAACTTTACTTTATCACAACGTCATAAACACTTCAATATGACGTCAATCTACCTATCAGTTAAAAGTTTGTTTTAAAAACAGTTATTAAAAATGGTTATCAAATTTTACAACCTGAAATTATTTTAATGGAAAAAAATTAAAAATTAACTACGCTTCATTTAACAATGATGCCTGAAATATTGCGCAATGGAAACACCAGTCCCCCCCCCCCCCCCCCCCCCCCCCCCACCAACCCCCACCCCTCTTTAAAATGAAATTTCCTTTGGAGAATCTTCTGAGCGAGATGAAATCATTTTTTCGATTGTTTACTTTTTTTATGTTGTTAAAATTCTGTTCACTACTCAGGAGCATCTCTGATAAGATTCATTGTTGAAACTATAGCAAGCCATTGTTAGATCAGTTGATATTACGGAGATCTCATCAACCTCTAATTTTGTAAATTTTGTGGTCGTTTTAAAGGGGCCGACTGTAGTTTTCATTGCGCAATATTTCGCGCATCAGGGTAAAATGAAGCATATTTACTGTTTCAAAGCAACGTTTTTCGCTTAATTATTAAAATTTAACAACACTAAGAAATTACAGGTTGAAAATTGTTATTACAATTTTATATAACTGCATTTTAAACCGAATTTGCAATTTAGAGATCAGTCGACGTCGTTACAGTGTTTTTTGACAGTATGATAAACTGAGGCTCTCGGAGAAAGGGGTAATAAAAATGTTATTAAAGAAAAAGTAATAAACATACGCTCTTGAAATTTAGAACAAAGAAATTTAAGAATATCTCCATTATTTTTATTGTTTTCATATAAATTATTTGTGCCCTTTATAATTTATAGTACTCTATAAAAAGAGGAAAATTAACCAATTTGTTGCATTTTGAGATGCCCTCTCTGGTAAGAAGACGGCAGAATTTTGTATTTCTTACATATTCTTACATATAATTTACAATACAGTGTATAACTCATCAAATATTATAGTCTGAAAAAAAAGTCTGTGGTATTACTTGTATAATTTGCTTTTAAGTGCTAAAAATTGGCATTTTCCTCTGTAATCCTATAGTAAATGTACCTGTATTTTGAGACAGTCCCTTAATATTACCTGGACGGTAGATTTTCCCCAAACTTGGCATGTGCACTGAAGTTAGTGTGAATTATATACTAGTATAGTATTAAAATAAAGAGTTTCGCTATTGGAGTTTTCACACAATAAAACCCCAGTTGGCCCCCTTAATAAAAACAACCTATTGTTGGATCATATTTTGGCTGACATGTTTCATACTAAATGTTAGACCTTTGTTTTTTTTTTTCTATATTTAACTACGAAAATTTTCGCCTACTTGATCAATACTTAGGATTCAACGGTCAAAAGGGAATATTTACTGTTCTTTATACCATCAAGCATGCATGTAGAATGTTTCGCTCACCCGAGCCGAAGGCTCAAGTGAGCTTTTCTGATCAAAATTTGTCCGTCGTCTGTCGTTGTTGTCGTTGTCGTTGTCGTCGTCATAAACTTTTCACATTTTCATCTTCTTCTCAAGAACAACTAGGTCAATTTCAAGCAAACTTGCCACAAAGTATCCTTGGGTAAATGAGATTCAAGTTTGTTCAAACCAAGGGCCAAGCCCTTTTCCAAGGGGAGATAATTATGAATAAATGAAAAAATAAATGGCATCTATTAAAAATCTTCTTCTCAGGAACCACTGTGCCAGGAAAGATGAAACTTATAGAAAAGCATCCTCAGGTAGTGAAGATTTAAGTTTATTCAAATCATTACCCCCGGGGGTAGGGCGGGGCCACAATGGCCTATCAAAGTTTTACATAGAAATATGTTGGAAAATTCTTTAAAAATCTTCTTCTCAAGAACCAATGTACCAAGAAAAATGAAACTTATATGAAAGCATCCTCAGGTAGTGTAGATTAAAGTTTTTTAAATCATGACCCCCGGGGGGTAGGGTGGGGACACAATGACCGCCCAAAGTTTAACATAGAAATATATAGGAAAAATCTTTAAAAATCTTCTTCTCAAGAATCACGTTTAACATAGAAATATATAGGAAAATTCTTTAAAAATCTTCTTCTCCAGAACCACTATGCCAGGAAAGATGAAACTTATATGAAAGCATCCTTAGGTAGTTTAGATTCAAGTTTGTTCAAATCATGATCCCGGAGTAGGGCGGGGCCACAATGGCTGATCAGGATAAGGATTGGTTGGGACCATTTTTCGGTTTAAACTTTTCAATAATAAACCAATTTCTGTTTTTTTTTCAAGCTACAGTGCTCAGGTGAGCGATGTGGCCCATGGGCCTCTTGTTTAAGATTCGTCTTAAGGAGGCTCCTAACACCACTTTTTGATTATATACTACACAGAAAAAATCCATTGTTTCGACCTTTTTCGTCTGGCGACGAATTACCAAGGTACCTTTATGACATGACCCTGACATTTAAAAAGCTTTAAAAATAGATGAAACATGCGGTGCTATTAACAGTGAAAACAAAATAACAGATTCATTATGCATGAACCAAGAAGGATTGCTTTAAAGGAGAAACAAAAGAAATTAACAAGAAAACATTGTCGCCCTGGTAATAAATATATAAAGTAAACAATGAAAATGAGTCTTGATCATCAAACTGCTTCGATATGTGTGAAAAGGCATGCGTCAAATTGATGGAGACGATAGTTGCAAATATTTTGAAAACTTGTAGACGGATAAAAATCAATCAAAAACGATAACATTTTAAACTTGATCAATTCCTCAAGTAAATATTGGCTGCATAAAATATAAATTGAAGTAAGACACATCACCTATATATTTGAAATGTATTAATTTTCAATTTTAGACTGTGCAGAGTACGTTTTTATCCGAGAAGTAAAGTTCGATGTTCCAAAAAAGAGGACCTGTCGTTTTTTCGATAGTAAATGATAAGCAACTATATATATTAAATATGAAAATACATATATATTTTTACAGATGCACTTTATGGAAGTAAATGTATTATGTATCTCGTAATTTATGAACGGAAAAAAACCTTCTGATTAAAAATCTTTTCAATGTTTAGAAAACCTTTAATTTTAGATAACTACTCTAACCCCAATCCCCATACACCAACAATTAAACTTATATGTATAGAGCAGCCAGGTCCTCCGGGCTGCAACAACAGCAAGATCTCCGCTAAACAAAACAATTGTAATTTCATAGCATAGCAGTGAGCTCTTTCAATCAATGACATGTTTGTATGGAGGAAATTCGAGTAATCTATAACCCTGTTGAATTTTTTTAAAACGTTATCTACTTGCACTATTTACTGTGCTGGTGTTAATTTATATAATTGCTTTATTGATTAAAATATATACTCTGGAAGTTTTTAGATGTAATGTTCAAGCGCTCAGGACTATGTGTTTTGAGATAACTCTTGAAAGTGGACTTTTATTTTTTTAATTGGAATTGTCATTTTGTTAAAACATTCTTTATTCAATCTGTCACATGCAATTCATTGAAATACATTCCTTTTCTCTGCAGAACTCATTTTCTTAATAGTTTATGCACAGATTAGAAAGATAATGACTTTAATTGTTTTTAGGGGAAAACTATTTTTTTTTCTAATAAGAATAATATTAGGCATTATGAGCTTATGTGTGTACATGTCTAAAGGAGATGTTCACCATTTAACACTGAAATTTCTGAAATTCTGGTAATTATGAACTTGAAAATAAAACAATTCACTAAAATTAGAAAAAAATCTCTAAAACAATATTTATGATATCAAAACCTCCATTTGAATATTTGACATCTACATTATAAGTGAAATCGGTCGCGAGATCAATTCTAAAGTTCATTATAGTAGATTTGATCACGTACCGACTTCATGTCATATCCCAATGAAACTCTAAAAACTGATATTATATTTCTTATATTTATATTTTACTTTTATGCCTATTACAATGAAAAATAAGCGCTATTTGGACTTGATATTGAAATGCAACATAACGCACATGAACGTCATCATATGATGTAATAGTCAAGACTCTCCAATTGTCTCGTGCATTTTTCCCAACTGCATGTCATTTAAGAAATGAATTTGATTTTTGAAGATTCATGAGGTTATGAATTATGACGCTTCACGCCGGCATATTTCATGAAGCGCGTTAAATATGCCGGCGTGAAGCGTTGTAGTTCATTTACCTCATGAATCTTCAAAAAATTAAATTCATTTCTTATGTTTACATTATTTTTCTGATGACTTGCCATAAATTTACGCCGTTCAACTGTCATTTTTAAAACAAAACAGTGTGCACTATATTTTTTGACTTTTTGACGCCAATAGCGGTATTGTGACGTAACAGTGGATATATTCATGCTTATTCGTGATACATACAAAATGTAGTTCATGAGAAAATATACTGCATTTTATTTTGTAAAGAATCATAGGGGAAATTTATTGGAAATGTAAATATTGAAAATTGAATGTCAAAATAATTTATATTGTCATATAAGGAAAGACATTGGCAAATGTAAATATTCTGTGGATGTAATGAGCCACCTCAAGACGTGTAGGATATTTTTAGGAAATATCATAGGAATATCTTAAGACACGTCTAAGGGTGTAAAAGAAAAAGTATATAATAGTAAACACATCCCCGCTCCCCCCTCACCCCACAAATTTACACACAGAAAACAGGGATTCCTAGTAATGCGGTAAAGAAAGTCAAACGCATGTGCATGTTTTGATTATTATAAATACAGGCCCCCTCCCTCCCCGAAATTTTCATATGACTCGCCTTTATGTTCGTAGTAATCTAAATATTGCTATTTTTACCAAAAAAATTTATATGCGACGATAATTCATTTGCACCAATACGTATTAATACCACAATATAGCAATTGTAGAGGTATTGGGCATCGAAAGACTAAAAGTTTGTAATTAAGATCCAGACAAATGTAGATGGTCAACTTGTTTTAATTTTCATGATTTAGTGACTTTTTATAATAAATTTCATCGACTTGACTAAATAAGAAATCTCTAGGGCAAAATGACAAAAAATATCTGAAAAACCTGATAATTTGGCTCTTTTCCAACAAACTCCCAAAGAAATCGGGATGGTAAGCATTCGATTTTCAAATCTTAAAACAATAAATATGTACAGGTAAGACTCTAAAGTCCGATGGTGACGCCGAAGTCCGATGGATCGTTTCCTTTGAGACATGCTGCACTAATTTGCTATGATCCACTGAAGTCCGATGGTGTGGATGAACAATCAACGTTTATTTATAATAATCCGACGTCAATTTTTTTGACACTGTTGTCCTGCATTCAAAAGCCATCATTTCTGAATTCGTCCTCGAATACAATTTTATTGATTTTTGCTTATTGCTTGCACCACCCAGAGGCATTTAGATTAGTCCTCGCACACCACTCGATTGATTAGGGTTAGTCCTAGCATTGCTCAACCCGAGAGATTTAGGGTTAGTCCTCGCACACTAGTCGATTGATTAGGGTTAGTCTTGCACCCACCGAAATGTCTAGGTTATTGTTAATAATTATACACTATTTGTGCGTTAGTCTCTCACCGATCTGAGAGATAAGGGTTAGTTTTTGCATTTATCTATTTATACTTATTTTTAAGACCTTGGCATGGCGCGTCATTTAGGTTTGGCGCAGTGATACTATGTCGTCATAAACGTTAATTGATTTCCAACACTAGGCGTGTCAGATCATCGGGGCATTGGTGCAGACCATGGGACTTTGGCGTTACCACGGGACTTTGGAGTTCCATCGCACTAAGGAGTACTACAAATATAACAGTAAAAATTAATTAAAGAAAAGTTATCGAAATCCCTTAGGTAGAAATAATTAAACTCGGCCTCGTTAAGTCAAGCTCTCTCGTAGTTGTCCTAAAGTAAGGACTAAGATTAGGAACTTTCCTACGATAGGATAGCTTCGGTGGCTTAGACTAAGATATGTCGTAAGTTCATCTTAAGTTATGTCTTAGTCCCAAGATAACTTCAAAAGCATGTCTGCTGAACCCATCTCTGTTATATTTAGGGGTCCGTGTTTTACCACCTGTTTACATTTGTTCAAAATATTAAAGCAGAATTGAATACGGTATATACAACAGCTGATCGGAATGTGTGTACACTATGCCAATCTTTGCCATACTTTTCTTTCAAGAAAATTAGTAAAGAAATGTTTTAATATTAATGTTTTAATGGAACTGAGTATAAAATAAATGTATTAGGTCAACTATTATGACATGAATAAGTAACTAATAAAAAGTTTTCACAAAGGTTTATGTAGAGAACGTACATTAAATCGCAGATTTCATTAAAAAAAACTGCATATGTATTTCAGGTAAAGTTCTTCCGCCGATATTTAGATTTTTCTTAATATATTCTCCCGGAAATGTATTGCCGGGTGACCAAGAGTCTAATCCATGCTGCTTGAATTTCCAATAAAAAAAAAACAAGTAAAAATGTTTCAAATACAAAAGTAAATACAGATCACTGTACTTCCTTGTGTTCCTTGTACACGCACTCTCGGGATAGGACCTACTCATAAAGAAACAGAAAACAATATTAAGGTATACCTTTACTCAGATGATTAAAAAATCCACTGATAAGAACGAAAAACTACCTATTGCACATTGTACACCTATGATTCTTGTGTTAAATTTCAATTTCAAATAACTAGGTCAATGACCTCGTTTTCATGGTAGGGGCCCCTGAGTTTTTCTCGGGAAATACATAAGTTTTTCACTCTATGACCATTTTATTCCTCACTCACAAAATATTACAAGCAAAAAAACTTTTTCAATATTGAAATATTATTGCAATGGAACAGAGTTGCTTCATATAAAGAAACGATTCGAGTTAAGGCCATAAACTTAAAATTATTACCGTCCGAATTTCCTCTGTCATTTATATATTTTTTCCCCATTTTAAATCGAATATTTAAAAAATCTGATTGATAAGAACTCTAAATTATTTATAGCCCAATATTACCTTTGTTGCTCTTATTCTCATGGTATAAACATTTTATGGGGTCAATGATCAAATTATTGATATATGTTGCCAGAAACCGTTTTTGTCCATAATTCTGAATTTCTTTATTTAATAGTATTTAATTATTTGAAATAATTTATTAGCTTTAAGACATATAAAATTTACAAAATGGTGTCTGAAAAAACATACAGCCTTTAAACCGTGATAAATGTTGCAAGAAATAAAAGATTTTGACAAAAATGAAAAACTAAAAATTCAGTCCGAATTTCCTCTGCATTACCATATATTGACTTTTGTTCCTGTATATTTTCTTCAAATAATAAAATATGAAATTTTAAAATTGATATTGTGTCAACTCTTAGTCATTTTATCCATTTAAAACAATTTTTAATTTAATATATTATACTTTATGAAATTTCCTCTCTGTTTTCTGAAACCTGAGTAAACGTCATCCTTAAGTTAAAAGTTTTTACACGAATGGTTTACCATACATTTAGCATACAATGTAGCATAGAGCAGTAATGCATTCTTACACACACTTGCACTTAAGTACTTTTTACACTTATTTATGCAACACTACACATACTCAAGTAACACTACACTCAAATATACACAAGATACTTTTATCAAACGTTACACAAACGGAACACCATACTAGAAAAACCAGCGGACGTTTACTACTAACACGACTATTTATAGAAACGAAAGCCATACTAATACGCTTTTCATAATAAACAATTACAACATTTAAAGAATATTAACCACAGTTAAAAGGATGCCTTTTGGAAAACGTTATCGAGGACCTTGAAATTAACAAAACCTGAATAATAGAATAAATAAAGTTGTATTCACCTCAGAAGCTGAGTGTCTGTATCAATGGTATTGTATACTTAAGAACTTATGTAGAAATGAAGTTAACTAAATTAAACTGACTGTAGAATTCACACTTTTGTATTAACCATAATAGACTCGTGAATGTTCTAGCGTAACACGACAGGAAAAGAGACTGATGATTTCCTAAACTTAGATTATGATCTCTCTTGACATTTTTTCTAGCAATATTAGATTAACGTATAAAGAAAAATGCAAAATATTAAAAGGAATTTCTCTGTTATGGTCTTTTTTTTTTGTTTATGTTAGTCTTGTTGTTTCAGTGAGATAAAGACGACCAACATATAGGTTTTTTAATTACTTATGCGCCATTCTAAAATGTACACTATTTATTTTTAAGGACATAGATGTATTTTACACGAATGTCTGGAGAATTATATCTGAAGAAAACAAATCTTTGCTTGACCACATCGACAATGAGAGGACATTTACAATAGGATTTGATGATAAATACAATGACTCTCCTTCAAAAATATTGGAATCTATCAGCAGAATTATACAGAAACAAAATTACTGGGGCGAGGAATTGCCATCTTCCTGGGTTATTCTTTTATCTAAACTCAGGAAAACAAAGTTGAAACTTTGTTACCTGAAGAAAATAAAAACATTGATAAACTTGAACATGGAAATTACAGAGGTAGAAGATGCATTGACATTTTTCCATGAAATTGGACATTTGTTGTTTTATAATGAAAAAGAACTGAAGGAAATAATTATTTTGGATATCCAGTGGTTTGCTGATGCATTTAAATTCATCATTGCCGATGAAACACATGTTCAAACTGAATGTAAACGAAAACTGGTAGATGAATGGGATGCTTTTAACAAAACAGGGGAACTCTCAGATGCTCTGCTTGAAGCAATGTGGAAATCACAAGAAAATAACGAGTATATGCAATACAAGCATGACATCATTTTATATATGGAAAGACTTGGAATGATGACACCCATACCACAAAACATTGCGAGGGAAAAGATTGCATATTATGTACCTTGTATGAATAAAAGGCCTATTCCAGCTCAATGCCGTAAATACTTCTCATTTGACCTTATTCACTGCTTCCGGTTTGCCTTTTTACCGGTATTCATTTTTCACCGTCTTGTCGTATCTTGTATGTCACTTAGCAAGTGGAAGCTGAATGTAAGTGGACAAGAAAAAAATATTTATCGTACTGCTGCTGTATTTGTTTATGCAAATCACCATGTCATTTTGGCAATTTCAAGAAATGATATTCAAGTACAGGTACTACGACTCAAACCCAACAGCATTGATCAATTAGTTGTCTTTAAAGTTCTAGACGACATTTCAAATCAGTTGGAAAAATTGGCATCTTCATTCTTTCGTCACAGTGAATGGATCTGGGGAATTAAATGCAAGTACGCAAATATTGCTGAAAACTCGGACAATTCCTTTACTAAACTTGATGATATTGAAGATATGGATGAAGACTTATTTTGCACAAGTTGCAGTGTGACACATAAGCTTGTTGATAAGGAACTTATTGAAGACTATATCAAATTTGTGGAGGTTGGATAAGTATTATCTTTACAAACACATCTACAATAAATCAAGATACTACTCAAATTTTTATGTTTATTAACATTGTTTGAAATTTCTTGCAGAATAGGAGGTCATTTCTAACATCGAAAAGGGATCAGGAACACCTTAAAGCAAAGACAACAGATAAAAGTGTGTCAGGTAATATAAAATTCATTTTTTTTTTGTTAAAATGTGATCTAAAGTTTAAAGTTACGTGCAGAGTTTAAACAAAAAGAGAAAAGGTGAGATACAGTTATTTGGACATAAGTTTTATTAGAGAATCGTTACAGATACACGTTTTTTGAAATCAATTTTATTTGTAAAGCACGATTTACAACAACTCTTAAAGAAACATGCTCAGTGTCGAAGTCATCTACTATAACATTCACGAAAAAAAATGGGTGAAAACATAGCAAAATAGGTGACTCGAATGCAGCATTCCCTAAAATAAAATCGTTCTTTTTGTCAATTCTGTCCTATTTTTGGTAAGGATCTCTTTCATAGTACGCACCAAAACAACTCTCTTAAGTATTACACAGATTTTTTTTTAAAAAGTAATTTTTATTCAAACTATGACTTGTTGTCTGTTGCCTTGATAATACTTGAAAATTGGGAAATTTTTAGGGTGTCAGCAGGTCTTCAGTCACGGATTGCAATTTCTAGAACGTTTCTAAAAAAGTTTCAGAAAGATTGGATCAAATTTAAAAATTACATCTTTTTTTAGCTGCCTTGCAACAATTTGAAATTTTTAATTCAAGGTTGCACATCTTAAGTCGTTGATCATCATGACAGTGAATTTCATCAAGATTGATTAAGCAATCTTCAAGATATTTGGCAGATAGTGTTATTGGTGGAACAATAGCAATATGCCACTGACTTCGTTCTTGCTGATAAAAATAAATCTGAAATTTTACTCATGAACATGATACGCTTTGTGATGTGCAGAATAAAAATATCTTCCGCAAATATATATTGGGTGTGTGATAGAGCAAAAGATGTATGTAAATCATTTACTTTTGACCAATCAGTTTTTCTTTCAAAATATTGTTGTAATTTAATGATGTAATATATATCTTATCAACAGCAAAAAGATTTGAAATCAATTTTCAACAACTTGAGGGATTAATCCAGATTGGAAGAGAGGCTTTGAAAATGGTTTTCGACGAAAATGTCCCGTCAGAAAAACTATGTACTCATCTTACTGAACATGAATACATTCTTAGAAGAGGACACTATTGTTTCAATAAAGAGCAGCTTCGAATCGTTTTTCCAGGTATATTTTCAAACTGTATTAATTCAGGTTAAAAATAATATATTTATGCCCCATGCAACAAGTTGCGTTAGGTATAATGTTTTTGACCCGTCCGTTGGTAGGTCAATCAGTCAGTCAGTCAGAGTGTCAGTCAGTCAGTCAGTCCGTCAATCCTGTTTTATTTTTGTCAGCGCAACTCCTCATAAACCGCTTGACAGAATTTCGTCAGACTTTGCAGATATTAAGCACACAATGAGTAGATGTGCACATTACAAGGAAATTTCGATTACTTTTTTTCGGGAATTTCCAAACTTTTTAACTTAGGTTTTTGGCCATACCTTGAATAAATAAATTAACATTTTTTCAGAGAAACTACTGTTAAACCGCTGCACATAATTTCGTCAAACTAAGCAGATATTTAGGACACAATGTGTAGATGTGCATTTTACCAGGAAATTTTGATTCCTTGATTCTTCTGGGAATTAAGGCACTTTTCAACTTAGATTTCTTGGGAAATCTTGAATATAGCGATAAACAGTTATTCAGCGCAACTCCTCTTAAACCGCTGCATAGAATTTCGACAATCTTTGCAGATATTTAGGACACTGTTAGATATGCATATTGCCAGGAAATTCCGATTCCTTTATAATTTCCGGGAATTTTTACTATTTTCAACTTCGATTTTTGGCCATACCTTGAATATACTAGATTGAACAGTTTGTCAGCGCAACTCCTTTAAAACGCTGCACAGAATTTCGTCAAACTGAGCAGTTATTTAGGACACAGTGTGTAAATGTACATAAAACGAGGAAATTCCGATTCCTTCATTTTTTGGGGAAATTCCGCACTAAAATCTTAGATTCTTGGCCGTATCTTGAATATAGAGATTGACATTTCGTCAGCGCAACTCCGATTAAACCGCTGCACAGAATTTCGTCGAACTTTGCAGATATTTAGGACACAATTTAAAGATGTGCATATTACCAGGAAAATCCGATTCCTTTAATATTTTGGGAATTTTGGCACTTTTCAACTTAGATTTTTGGGGAAATTTTGAATATAGTGATGAACCGTTTTTCAGCGCAACTCCTTTTAAACTGCTGCACAGAATTTCATCAAACTTTACAGATATTTAGGACACAAAGTGTTAATGTTCATTTCGCTGGGAAATTCCTATTCCTTTATCTTTACCGGTATTTTCAGCACTTTGCGTTTGGGGAGCGTGGGGTATGTGAGATTGCTCACTTTTTCTTTCATTTAAATATACTTTTCTAGTAACATTTCCTATTCAGAGTAATACATGTATTTCAATTGCACTACATATTCCAAAGTTAAGAAGTTTTCATCTCTTGTAGATAATGGAGCAAAACCAAATTCTAATAATTTTGACATCACTATTCTATACAAACTTTTGCGGAATACAACGGAAATATGTGAGACGGGTGTCTGGAGAAAGGAATTAGGTTTTGAGCACAATACTGTAAGTGATGACGTGGAGAGGATAAAAAAACACAGAAATGATGTGGCACATTCTACATCAAAGGAGATGGGAAATGATGAATTTCAGAGTCGTTGGTTAGATTTATCAAAGGTAAATTTTAAAAGATTAACTTGGATCAATCAATGTTGACTGATTATTATTGTTTAATTAATCTTATATTTTTGACAATTTTTAAAGTTTTTAATTGAGCTCAAAAAAGAGGAAGGTAACGGACAGCGATTGCTCTTGGAAATATCTATTGCCAAAACAATTCTGCAAACAGGGAATAGAAGCACATAGCACCAGGCATTTTCCGCGATAAATTAAAGTCCAAGCTTTTTCAAATCAAATACAGCTATTCTTTCAATACAAATGGAACTCGTAAATTTACTTACTTGACTATACTCCCGGATGACAATAGCTTTGTAGTTTATGGAGACCAGGTCTTTAAACAATCTGTTTGTATTACTAAATTCTGACAAATGTAATCGATTACCTAGAGAAATTTGGTCTAATTAATAATCTATTACAGTCAGTATTATCCTGTAATCGATTACTTTAAACATTGTAATCGATTAATAATCGATTACTTTTAAGTTTCTTCCATCCTCAAATACCAAACAAAAAAAACTTAATTATTATGTAGTAATGTTGATGATATATTCCGAATTTTGAATCTGTTCACACAGTTTGGGTTTGAACCTCCATATTTAATAACTTTCATTACCACTACATTTTAAAGATTTTTTTTACCGCTACATAGTCATAACCGCTACAAAAACGTTACATTACCGCTACATATGAAAGTATACCCAAAATAACCGCTACATGTACATTGCCTATTTCGTTAGCCAGTTACTCGTGCCTGTACAGACATATAGCTGCATAAGACCTGTATCCCCTGAAATACATGTACACAATTCCACATTCACACGCGACTCCAATATATGTAGAATGAGATACAACTTATCAAGGGCTAAATACTATATTCAAATATTTAAGTCAGTGTGATCTTTGTGGCAACACACTTTGAAAAAATTACGCACTTTGAATGAATATTTCAAAGTGCGTTAAAATTGGAACAAAATCAACGCACTTTGAAATTTTTACCTTATTGAGACCAAGTAGAGGACGAGTAGAAGGTAGTCCAACTATTTTTTTCTTATGCATTGTACATAGCCGTCGGTAGCAAATTGAAAGTGCCCCCCCCCCCCCCCCCAAGGTAAGCCCCAGATTTCAATGCCTATATACACTCAAGAAACTCATTTACAAAATATGGCAATTTTGAATGAAAACTTGGAAAATATTTTGCAAATCAAAAACACAAGCAGAAATAGTATTTAGTTTTTCCCTCTTATATTTCTATTTAGTCTTAGCTAGAATAATGTTGTATATATTTTAGATAATTTGTATTTAATATATAAAAGAACATCTTTATTTTTGCTATTTACTATTTTCTGTCAGAAGACAAAGTTTATCAACATCTAGAATATGAAAAAGACTAGACCAGTATGACTATAATGCAAATTTTAATTTTGTGAAAATCATTCAAGTTATGATCATAAGTTGATTCGATACGCAAAAGCATGCTCTACCTATGAATTTTTTAAACGAGGTAAATTATTGACAAAAAGTTGATGAAACAAGAATATTAGCAGTCTCGTATAAAGTCCTCATTTCGGAAGTGCTATCGTCGATATGTCATGACCTTGTCAGCAAATACAATTTGTCAAGTAGTCTATTGCTGGATGACGTTTTTCATACAACTTGTAGGCCATTATTTAAACACTGAACTGACGACGGATTTTTTCGTTATTTCTTGATCAAGACAATGAGCACACAGGGGATGCTCACTCCTCCATGGCAGCTGATCCCACCCCTGATGTTTTGAGGTCCCTGTTTGCTCAGCTCCTATTTTTATTGTGTTATGGACTTCTGATCCTGAAAACTGTTCGTTATCTCCATAATTTTCATTACTTTTTAAACACGGATCTAGATTTTCATAGTGTCTGTCACCCGAGGGCTGCAACTTCAAACATCAAACATACTCTCAGGATCGTTGTGGGGGTCTTCTTAGTGCCAACACATTATTCGACACTGGATTTCCTTAAATGACCTTATGAGCATGTATTATCTATCACTAGCTCAAATACTGATAACATTTTCAGACTATTTGTTTACACACTGAAATATCTACGAATTCTTCCATCCATCTAATCATGACAAGGAACACATTATATTTATAAATGAGACATTTTGACATAGGATGCTTACCCCTACATGGCATCTGATCTCATCTCTGGTGTTTTTAGATCTCCATGTTTACTCTGTTGCAGAATTGCTTTGTTTACCTGGACTTTGAGTTTGAATACTGTTCGTTTACTCAATATTTTATGGAGTACTTGTATTTAAATTTTTTATTTCTGTTGGTGCATTATGATGCATAGCAAAAAAAAAAAATCAATCAAAACCTCGTTATTCATTTTGTCATAAAACCACAGCACAAAAATAGTATTTCAATGTATGTTTTAAATTCAGGCTATCGAGAGGCTGAGCAAAGGAGCACTGAACGGAAAAGTGGGACTACTGTCTCAAAATAATGTGAAAGAGAACTGACAGAGGCATTCCAAAACTAAAACTATCGTGTGTGACTAATGGTATTTAATATATTCAGTGATGAGAAGTCATGAAGTATTATTTTCACAATTTTACCTTTTACAGAATAACTAGTATTTCGTGTTATTTTTAGTACATAAGAGCAATGCAAAAAATATGTGGTGAAAAAACTTGGTGTTGTGGTTATTTTTGAAACTTTTTTTATATCATGGAAAACTCTTTTTCCTGAAGAAATGAGTGTAAGTAGTTTACATATGTAATCTTTTATGGAGACATTTCAATCTATCAAAAACTACAAATAAAAGGGTAAAATATTCCTGAATTTTATTTCAGATATTAGAATAAGAATTTTCGTGATTAAATAACTATATTCGGTAATGGCCATTATCTGCCCCCGAAATCAAACATTGTTGAAGAAATCTGTATTTATGTTCTAAAACAGAGGAGTGTACAATAGTTAATAGAAGATAGGATAAAGGCATGTTAAACAGTTTTCTAGTTTTCAAGGGAAGACATTTCTTGATTTTCTGCAAAGTAAATAATCTATATGTTAAAGATTCACGGTTTCAATATTACTCACTTCAAATTCAGTTTTATGATTTTAAGTAATATCATTTGAAATATAAACAACAATTCCTCTACCCGACTTATCCTTTCTCTCAAAAGCAAATCCATTAATTTCTAAACCCGAGTAACAGTAATTATCATTTCAGAATGTTTCATAGAGGCCTTCACAGAAGCTACAATTTGATTTTGTCAATGGGTATTAGATGACATAAATTTAAGTTTCCAAAACGTAAACCTCTTTTAACCTCTTTTAAGCAATCCAAATCTAGTAAAATTACTTTGTTTGCATGACTTTTTCGGTGCATTATCTTTCTGATTTAAAGGCATATTATCTAATCAAAATCATATATTTTTCAACACTAAAAATCACTTGCAGTGATTTAAAAAAGTGTAAAATAAAGCTTCAGTGTTAAATTAAATAATAACATCCTATATTATCGTTGTTTTTGTGAAGTTCGTCTGCCAAAATAACCCGACTAATTATGCATGTACTCATATTCTGATGACGTTTCCGATCACTGCCGAAAACAGCCGAAGACAACGTCATGGATGCTGAGGTAGGTACTGCAAGTTTACCCAGTAAAAATATCCCACTTTATATTTATTAGATATGTTCAATGAACTGCAGAATTATCTTTTTTCTACTTACTAGTGTATATTTACTTAAATATTTCGATTTTGACTGTGCTATTCATCGTTTTGGGACACATAATACCGATGAGGCCTCTTGCGGGGTCAAACCCAGAAAACACGCGGACACGTACTTGTCCACACGTAGTACATTTTCAGTGCTGTTTACTTATTAACAAATGAGTTTAAAGTATCGTAGACTGATAGATGTTATAATTTGGTTATTATATAGGGAAATTGTTTATAATAGATATATCGGATAATCTTTCACAAACAAAATATTATTGACCACGTGTCTTCCATGTCGTAATATTGGTTTCCTTTTTCGCACGTAGGCCTACTATTTTTTTATCACACAATTTATTTGTAAGCAGAAACTAAAGGTTCCCTGCTGCAGAAATTAAAAAAAAGTGAAAGAAAACGAATAAACACACACACACACACCAATTAAAGCTAAAAACAAAATGTAAACTCCTCTGTGAATAAACTATGTTTTTGTTAGCTGTTTTGATCTGTGAGCAACAGGTCACTAAATTTTTGTGTGTCTTTGTATCAGTCGTAACCCCATTATATTAGTTGGAACATTTATTATATATATGTATGTATCACAAAAGAAAACAATTCAAGGTTTGATTATTTTAGGACTCTAGAAGCTCGATGTCTAGTTCTGACAGCAATGATGAAATGATAGTAAGAGGTAGAGGTAGGGGGCGTGACACCCTTAGGGGTGTTAGAGGGAGAGGAAGAGGTCAAAGAAGAGGGAGAGTTATGAGAGGAAGAGGTTTTCCACGAAGAGGAGCAGTAAACAGACAAGTTGGGCCTAACAGAGCTCAGGTAGCTGCAGCTACCTTAGAGGAGAGGAATCACCAGTTGCAGGTAAATATATTGTAATCAGTTATCCCACCGTCTACAAATATAATTGAGTTTGAAAAAGGAAAATAATAGAAATTAGAATCTTATGCTTTTCGACTTGTGTCACTCATGAATTTGTGCCATTCTGGACAAGTGTGCCGACATACACAAACCCTTTTAAATTATTTCAGGATAGAATTTCTCGGTTATCAGATGTGGATCTGAGGGGACTCGTGATGAGTATTGCATCTCAACACCCTGGATTTGTGTTTGATGTCTTGGACAGGGATGACAGTCACAGCCAGCATGGTGGTCACCATCCTCCACCAGACGGGCCTACCCCTACCTGGTGTACTTGCACATATTGCCGGGAAATGCCCACAGAGGCAGAAAGGCGCTGTTGTGGCAGAACCAGACCCAACTGCTACTCCAGGCTGCCTGTATGTAACCAGTTCACAATTCAAATTCACTTTGATTAATTCAGTATCACTGTTTTACTTTCAAATAATCCCTTTTATTAAAACTAGTTTTCTTATTTTTGCAGGATTTTTATTTGATTGTCTTGGACGAAGCAGTCCTGGCAGTGGCCAGAAGACTGAGGGAGGAGCTTCTGGTAATGCCCCCGGATGAAGACTTTAATAGGTCCAACCGATTTGCAGCTTACAGGCAATACATAGTCTGGCAACATGGCCGACTTGGGGCAGGCATACGGCGTGTAATACCGAGCTGTTGTGTTTGGCGGATACGTGATAAATATCCCAATCCATTCGGACAATACAAAGGCTTTGTTGGAGGAAGGTTTAACTGAAATCTCATTAACAGAAAAAACTTTTTTTTTCGGCCAAGACAAAGTAATTGTTAGTTGTGGGTTTTTCTAAATTATCTCCCAAACATTCTGTATAAGAGAAAAGCTCACATTTTAATTGATAATTAATTTGTAATAAAAGTCTCTCAAATATCAATAAAAACATTATTTATTTCTTATTTTTAATTGTCAATGATATTTAATGTACATGTACAATAATCAAAGAGAAGAAAACTGTGACCATTGCTTATTACAGCATTCATCTATGTAGAAATGAAACAAACCAATATGTACAGCCTCCCTTACCTGAGTACCTGATGGAAATGTGAATGACTGTCTACAATTAACCCTAAATCTATAGATTATATCAATAAAAACACATTTCTATCAAAACAATCCTTTTCTCAAAATAAACAAGATGTGTTTGTGAAACACTATGCGCCCGGCGGCAACAAAGTTCAAAAAATCTATTTTTAGCATGTTGGTCGTGTGCAGTCAATACAAACTTACTACAGTAAATTTTTGTGGCACCAAATACAGTCAAAATGCTTGCACTATGGTTTCTATATAAATAAAATATATAAATTGTCAGGAACTATTGCAACTCTGCCAAAGAGCAAAGCAAAAGCTGTTGTATTGGCCTATATCTATTCAACATTCTGCATGTCAATGGAAGTAAATAATACATGTATAAGAAAATACCCTTCTATTACATTTCTTAAAAAATATTCCAATTCAGCTAGAAATATGACAGTTAATGGCAGTATGAAAATCATTAGCCTATCAATGTCATTATGATTTCACAAAGAAAGCTTTACTGTCCGTCACCAGTCCAGTACTCAATTGTTTTATTCAGATTTTCAAATCTCGAGATCTGAGTGGCAACAATTTCTTTTGTTGGTGGTGGTGGGACTGGAGCCAGATGGGCAGCTATCCGCCGTGGATCCTCCTCCTCTAACTCCAACGGCCTGTTCATTCCAACATCATCCTCTATTCTGCTCCTGATGATTTCCCTGATCAGGTCTTGAACATAACTATATTTCTTCTCTTCTTTCACAGGGTGGACCGACCACCTTGATGTTTTTTTGTTGTAACTCCTTTGCCACCTACATATAAACACAAATGAAAATATTATTCGTGGAAATACTGCAATGCAAAGCATTCATTTTCATTATGGTCTGGTTTTGATATGTAATTTTCTATTTACAATTCCTTGGGTCTTTGTTCTGATCATTAGTCTTTATGTTTTAGAACTGTCATCATTTATTTTATTATATTTGAACCACTTTTATCTACATACATTCTAATATAGAGTACAAATTTTCTTTGAACTTTATCCAGACATCATTTCATTTGTTAAAGCTCCAAAATTTCAGGGCACAACTTTCACAAAGTTCATGCAAAAAACATAATGGAATTTGAAATGTTAATTAAACAAATATTTTTCTTATTATTTCCAACAATTTTTTTTTTGTTTTAGCTGTTGATTTGAAAAATTCTGATCTCTTTTTAACTGGTTGGACAAAAATGACATATTTTAAAGGCATATTATCTAATCAAAATCATATATTTTTCAACACTAAAAATCACTTGCAGTGATTTAAAAAAGTGTAAAATAAAGCTTCAGTGTTAAATTAAATAATAACATCCTATATTATCGTTGTTTTTGTGAAGTTCGTCTGCCAAAATAACCCGACTAATTATGCATGTACTCATATTCTGATGACGTTTCCGATCACTGCCGAAAACAGCCGAAGACAACGTCATGGATGCTGAGGTAGGTACTGCAAGTTTACCCAGTAAAAATATCCCACTTTATATTTATTAGATATGTTCAATGAACTGCAGAATTATCTTTTTTCTACTTACTAGTGTATATTTACTTAAATATTTCGATTTTGACTGTGCTATTCATCGTTTTGGGACACATAATACCGATGAGGCCTCTTGCGGGGTCAAACCCAGAAAACACGCGGACACGTACTTGTCCACACGTAGTACATTTTCAGTGCTGTTTACTTATTAACAAATGAGTTTAAAGTATCGTAGACTGATAGATGTTATAATTTGGTTATTATATAGGGAAATTGTTTATAATAGATATATCGGATAATCTTTCACAAACAAAATATTATTGACCACGTGTCTTCCATGTCGTAATATTGGTTTCCTTTTTCGCACGTAGGCCTACTATTTTTTTATCACACAATTTATTTGTAAGCAGAAACTAAAGGTTCCCTGCTGCAGAAATTAAAAAAAAGTGAAAGAAAACGAATAAACACACACACACACACCAATTAAAGCTAAAAACAAAATGTAAACTCCTCTGTGAATAAACTATGTTTTTGTTAGCTGTTTTGATCTGTGAGCAACAGGTCACTAAATTTTTGTGTGTCTTTGTATCAGTCGTAACCCCATTATATTAGTTGGAACATTTATTATATATATGTATGTATCACAAAAGAAAACAATTCAAGGTTTGATTATTTTAGGACTCTAGAAGCTCGATGTCTAGTTCTGACAGCAATGATGAAATGATAGTAAGAGGTAGAGGTAGGGGGCGTGACACCCTTAGGGGTGTTAGAGGGAGAGGAAGAGGTCAAAGAAGAGGGAGAGTTATGAGAGGAAGAGGTTTTCCACGAAGAGGAGCAGTAAACAGACAAGTTGGGCCTAACAGAGCTCAGGTAGCTGCAGCTACCTTAGAGGAGAGGAATCACCAGTTGCAGGTAAATATATTGTAATCAGTTATCCCACCGTCTACAAATATAATTGAGTTTGAAAAAGGAAAATAATAGAAATTAGAATCTTATGCTTTTCGACTTGTGTCACTCATGAATTTGTGCCATTCTGGACAAGTGTGCCGACATACACAAACCCTTTTAAATTATTTCAGGATAGAATTTCTCGGTTATCAGATGTGGATCTGAGGGGACTCGTGATGAGTATTGCATCTCAACACCCTGGATTTGTGTTTGATGTCTTGGACAGGGATGACAGTCACAGCCAGCATGGTGGTCACCATCCTCCACCAGACGGGCCTACCCCTACCTGGTGTACTTGCACATATTGCCGGGAAATGCCCACAGAGGCAGAAAGGCGCTGTTGTGGCAGAACCAGACCCAACTGCTACTCCAGGCTGCCTGTATGTAACCAGTTCACAATTCAAATTCACTTTGATTAATTCAGTATCACTGTTTTACTTTCAAATAATCCCTTTTATTAAAACTAGTTTTCTTATTTTTGCAGGATTTTTATTTGATTGTCTTGGACGAAGCAGTCCTGGCAGTGGCCAGAAGACTGAGGGAGGAGCTTCTGGTAATGCCCCCGGATGAAGACTTTAATAGGTCCAACCGATTTGCAGCTTACAGGCAATACATAGTCTGGCAACATGGCCGACTTGGGGCAGGCATACGGCGTGTAATACCGAGCTGTTGTGTTTGGCGGATACGTGATAAATATCCCAATCCATTCGGACAATACAAAGGCTTTGTTGGAGGAAGGTTTAACTGAAATCTCATTAACAGAAAAAACTTTTTTTTTCGGCCAAGACAAAGTAATTGTTAGTTGTGGGTTTTTCTAAATTATCTCCCAAACATTCTGTATAAGAGAAAAGCTCACATTTTAATTGATAATTAATTTGTAATAAAAGTCTCTCAAATATCAATAAAAACATTATTTATTTCTTATTTTTAATTGTCAATGATATTTAATGTACATGTACAATAATCAAAGAGAAGAAAACTGTGACCATTGCTTATTACAGCATTCATCTATGTAGAAATGAAACAAACCAATATGTACAGCCTCCCTTACCTGAGTACCTGATGGAAATGTGAATGACTGTCTACAATTAACCCTAAATCTATAGATTATATCAATAAAAACACATTTCTATCAAAACAATCCTTTTCTCAAAATAAACAAGATGTGTTTGTGAAACACTATGCGCCCGGCGGCAACAAAGTTCAAAAAATCTATTTTTAGCATGTTGGTCGTGTGCAGTCAATACAAACTTACTACAGTAAATTTTTGTGGCACCAAATACAGTCAAAATGCTTGCACTATGGTTTCTATATAAATAAAATATATAAATTGTCAGGAACTATTGCAACTCTGCCAAAGAGCAAAGCAAAAGCTGTTGTATTGGCCTATATCTATTCAACATTCTGCATGTCAATGGAAGTAAATAATACATGTATAAGAAAATACCCTTCTATTACATTTCTTAAAAAATATTCCAATTCAGCTAGAAATATGACAGTTAATGGCAGTATGAAAATCATTAGCCTATCAATGTCATTATGATTTCACAAAGAAAGCTTTACTGTCCGTCACCAGTCCAGTACTCAATTGTTTTATTCAGATTTTCAAATCTCGAGATCTGAGTGGCAACAATTTCTTTTGTTGGTGGTGGTGGGACTGGAGCCAGATGGGCAGCTATCCGCCGTGGATCCTCCTCCTCTAACTCCAACGGCCTGTTCATTCCAACATCATCCTCTATTCTGCTCCTGATGATTTCCCTGATCAGGTCTTGAACATAACTATATTTCTTCTCTTCTTTCACAGGGTGGACCGACCACCTTGATGTTTTTTTGTTGTAACTCCTTTGCCACCTACATATAAACACAAATGAAAATATTATTCGTGGAAATACTGCAATGCAAAGCATTCATTTTCATTATGGTCTGGTTTTGATATGTAATTTTCTATTTACAATTCCTTGGGTCTTTGTTCTGATCATTAGTCTTTATGTTTTAGAACTGTCATCATTTATTTTATTATATTTGAACCACTATTATCTACATACATTCTTATATAAAGTACAAATTTTTTTTTAACTTTATCCAGACATCATTTCATTTGATAAAGCTCCAAAATTTCAGGGCACAACTTTCACAAAGTTCATGCAAAAAACATAATGGAATATGAAATGTTAATTAAACAAATATTTTTTTTTAATTTTCAACAATTTTTTTTTTTTGTTTTCAGCTGTTGATTTGAAAAATTCTGATCTCTTTTTAACTGGTTGGACAAAAATGACATATTTTAAAGGGATAGTGTGATAGTTGTTCTGTCAAGTATTTTTGAATTCCTGTAGTAGACGAATCATGCAAACCTCAAAGAACCATCTTTGTTCTTCTTCACTTCCCGCTCTGCATGGGAATTATGGTCAAGGGCAGCCAACCTGTTTCTTGCCCTATATACGGGAGGGCTGTAGG